CCCTTCCCCAAGCCTGTAGCATTGCAAGGGATTGCTGTGACATGATCAAGAGCAGGTTTTGAAGATTTTTCTGGGGTAGCAGGCAGGGTAGCATAAAACAGATTCAGTCTGATGCAGCTTCTACAGTTGTTAAAATAGACTCACAGCTTCTGCAGTTGCATTTACAGTCAACCTAAATGTGACTCCTGTAGCGTATCCAAGCTGGGGGAACAACTCTGTTAAAGTGTTGTCTCCCTTTTATTCTACATCTGGTGAGATAAAAGCTTAAACATCATTTTGGGCAGATGAACTCTAGTGTCTTTCCTCCAGTGACTGGGCAACTCGCTGCTCGTGTCCTGACTCACCTGAAACGACACAGGATAACCATGGCGGTGGTGAGGGAAACAAGAGACGTGCTGTAACCCACTGTGTACAGAGCCTTCACAGACAGATAGTAGTAATCCTTGGGAGGCAAACAACACATGGTTAATGCTTCATCTATGGTCACATCGTCTTTACCCTGTCAGCTTGCAAGGGGAACCACATGCAGGATTTGTTTCTTGAACAGCCTGATTGTCTTCTCTCAGTTCCCCTGAGATCTCACTGGATATTAGAACATTGCTATATGTCTGATGTGCCCTTGGGTCTGCATACTGTGAAGTTTAGCTGTCAGTGAGCTAGCAAAGGCTGTCTATATTTCTTTGACCATTGTGGATGTATATGTTAAAAAAAAAAAAAAAAAGTAGCTGGCTAAGGGATTCTTTAGTCAATAGGGGAAGAGTCGGGAGCTAACCCACACTTCTAGAAATTAAAAGCTATATCAACACTAAATACATTCTGGAAATATTCAGTACAGGGATAGGAAGGATTTAAACCTTGCTTCTTACATTTTATGTCTATAAATACCCAATTGTTTCATTCTAATCACCATCAAATCACAACATGACCGAAGGTCAGACAAAAAGCAGCTTTCTGCTCCTCCCCTTCATTTGTTTTTAATTATAAGATTAATTCCCACCTGGTTATCGGATTCTGTTTCATTCTCATCAAAGCCGCAGGCATCGTAATAATGAGGAAAAGGTTCAGACCAGCCATCTTCAGTGCAATTTCTGCTAATGTCACCTACACCAAGTACAGTTGGGAATGTGACATTATTGAAGTAAACCTGAGAAAATACCCTCCCTCCCCTAGGTATGTGACCAAAGAAAACCCCACAGGACTACTGGGGGTATTATTTATCAGGCTGTCCATAGGAAATTTCAATGGCATCTTGAAAATTCAATGACATCTCTAACGACACAATTCTACAATACACACCTATGAATGTCTACTACTACAGCTGGTCAGCAGAGAGCAGTATAGCCAGTGCCTGCAGACCATCGAAAGCCTCACGTTTACCTAAAACAGAAGTCAGCTAAATGTCCATTTCTTTCAATTGACTGTGAAAGGCTTTGATGTAGACATCTACATTTCAGATGGCTATAGGTTAAGTCCAGTGCTTAAATATAGACACTCTGTGCTATTTAAGATGGTTTATATCTGAGGTATTTGCATGGTACTGGCATGAAAACAGAAGGCTAACTTGATTTTTTGAAGCAGCTGCTGGAAGGCAGATGGGATACTGTAGGATATCTAAAATAACCATTATGTGTCTATGGTGAGGCAGCTGGACTGTTCTCCTATAGTCAGCATAACATGTACCCCATTCATCTTCAAGCCTAGGCTCTGATCTGAGAGTGATGTGTGAGAAGGGTCTGTAGGAAAATGAAGAAAAGATAAGAGCGGGAATCTCTTCCTCATTCCTTTTTTCACATCAATATATTCATTTATACCTCCAGATGCCCAGTGTGACTTCAGCTGACAACTTCAAATCTGCTCCAGAACTCTGCTTCTTGTTTGTTCCAATCCCAGTTTATAACCTTACTCTAAAGCAAGTGATTGCAAGGAGCCTCAAAAGTGGCTTAAGGAAAACCTCTTGCTCTTTTCCTCTCTTTTTCTCCTAAGTTTGTCTCATCTGATATAAGGACTAGCTCCTAAATGGCTTTCATTGACATAGTCAAAAGGCTTAAAACTACACTGGGGAATAAGAGCTGTGGGTGGAAGAGGAAACTGTTTCTTGACACTTTCTTCCTGAGGCCACCCAAGGTGGGATGGTCCCCAAGGTGCTCTTTTTAAGCACCGCTATTCTTGCCAGTGCTCAGTGACCTGGCTGAAAAATCAGAGCTGGGCTGCTGGCTGCACTTCTTCCTCCCCAGCACAATAGAACAATTTCCATTTATCGAAACATTACAGTTTTTGAAGTTTGAGCTGTACTTTGACCAAGATTGATGGAAATTTCCATGTTTTTCCTTTTATTAAGGTTATGCTGCTTCACATTCTTAGAGCAGTTTAGTCAAGGAGCTCATAACACCAGCAGTGACCTTATATTTAGAGAATCTGTTTGTCATCCATGCAGCAGAATATATTTATTTAATCATGACATTCATTTAAGAACATTGCATTACTTGACAAATTTTGGTAAATTATTCTTGCACATTCATTCCTAGTTTTCTATGAAAAATAACCACTGAATCGTGGTGTGGACTTTCTTTAACACCATTTAGTAATTACTGTTAACCAGGTAGATATAATTTATAACAACATATTTGCTAGATTGCAAGGTTCAATAGTGGAGGAATAAATTTTCATAATATCACTAAAAGTAGAACACCAGAAAATGTGTCACCATAATTAAAACTGATTAGAAAATAATACCTAAACAGTAGGAGAAAAAACTTGGAGCTTCCTTTCTAACAGAGTTAAAATATAAAGAGAAACATTCCATGGTTCCATTTCTTACCTAGGGGAGACTGGGCTGTGCTTTCCAGCAGGTCATAATCACCTATAAAAGTGGAAATTTGGTATGAAGTTGTTTTGATTGTGTTTTTTATAAGGGCCCAAACTGGTCTCTCTAGAAATCAGTGAATAGAATCCAATTGATTTTTATTTGTTTGGATCAGACCCAAAGGCAATAAATATTTTATTCTATGTTTTCAGGAAGTAAACACAGTTTTACTTGCAAGTTTAAATCAAAGCTGAAATTATAAAATCTAAAAACTGCTACTGCAAACAGTAAGGACATCACTAAAAACACATACAATCACGCTAGGATCAATTTTACTGTGAAATACAGAAGTGAGATATTATACCATTAGAAGTTTACATTTATAATCCATAGATATTTAATTATAGTCAGTTTTAACAGAATTAATGAAAAAAGTATTTCCACCCATCAATGACAAAAACACAGTAATCATTTGGTTTGAAGTCTGACAATTTGATTTTATGGTTATAGGTTAAATGGCACTGATTTCTAGAAACATCAGAGTTTTACTTTCATTCTCTATTGGAGTGTTACAAGGAATTATACGTATTCATTATGATAACTGTTGATAGACAAACAACTTTTCAATAATCCGATATTATTATGTGCAGGACAATATCATTTTTTAGACCAGAGGTCACCAAAACTGGTTCTTACCTGCATGAGTTTGCCCCAAGTTATCTACTTCCCAACCTGAAATCAGAAGAATAGAAATAATCAATTTGGTTTCAATAGCAGCTTGCTTCCCATAAGACGATTGGAGGTAACCGTGCCCAGATAAGAACTGCAAGAAAATGTTGCTTAAATCCTTTTTTCAAGATCAGTACTGTATATTTAAGGCTGAAAAGTGGTTTTCAGAAGATGGTTGATTGCACTTTATTGCTAAATCTCTGTTTATCATGCCGTTTCATCAGACTTTAGGAAGGATATGAAAAAGAGATGAAGGAGTTCTTTTGTGTGTTGTTCTTTTTATTTTTCTTTTCCTGCAGTGGCAGGGAGGCTTCTGAAATAAGAAAGACCAACATATTTCCAAGCTGAAATCCGTGCTGCTTTTTATAGTAAAAATACAAAACGTTACAAAGTGGAACCATACAAGTTTGCATTTGTGAGAAAAAAATTTCCACTTCCTTTTTATTTTATTCGTCCTTCCAAAATAAAATGTTGAGATTACCTCAAACCAATCTCCAACACCCCCTCCTGTTAAACACCTAACCCAAACTGCACTCAGGTCAGAATTTCCTGAATCCTCCATGGATTTTAGCTCCAGCTCAGGGTTGTGGGATGCGTAAAGAGGATCTACCTTAAGCCACGGAGTGGAGCTGCTGCTTCGTGCATAGAGACACGGAGTAGCCCGACAAATCTCTGCAAATAGCCCTGCCAGTGGCCACCCACCAGTGACAAAGCACCAGTCCAAAGTGGCACTGGTTAAGTGTTTAGACTGGATTAGTTCTGTATCCCTGGACTAACCTTGAAGTTTCTTACTGTTTTTCTTTCACCCTGTTCCTCTTTCACCTTGAACAACACCCTGTTATTCTTTCAACCCGAACTAGATCTTTACTAGGGAGGGGGGTTGGAGTAGCTGACTATTAATGGTCCCTTCCAGCTCCAAGACATCCTGTCTTTGTATGATTGGAAAAGACCTTTGGCAAGCTGTGAGAGAGGTGTTTCTGTGAAAAGTAAAATCCAAATGAAGATTGATTTTGATCCTGTGGGAAAGGAGAAAGATAACACCTAAGGGAAAAAATATAGTACAGGGAGTCGTAGCAGCACAGCATAAAACTAATTTTATATTTTATACTTTTTCAAATTCCTTATCATGTAACAACTTCAATTCATTGATTTCTCTCTCTCTTCTTGCTTGCTGATCTTCTGAGACAGAAAACAGAGGGTTTAGTGATGAAGATGATGGTGAGACTTTGGAAAACTAAGCTGAAGCATCAGGTAGGCTGTGCAGGGTCTTTGGACGTATTCCACACCACATCTACACGTTTAACCTACCAGTTACCTTGGGGGATTAATACTGAAATCCATGATGAGAATATCCCTGGTCTCCTGGCTTCTCTACCCAAATCCAGCTACTTTCAAGATTTCACATATGAGAGTTCTCCCATCCTTACAAATTCTGGGTCTGAGAAGTCATCAATGCTCTGAGCAAACATTTTCTAGCAAAGAACCTTCAACTTGCTGCATCAGACTAAACGACCAGCTGCTGCAGAAGCGCTATGGCTGTGCTCCAGGTTCTTGACAGAATAACACGAATGCCTCTGCAGAATGTTTTGGACAGATCCGTTTCCCTCCTGAGTCTACCAAACCTCAAGTTTTCTTAACAGTGATATAGCTCAGGTGAAGACGCCTGTGTTGTTAAAATGTGAATTCAGAATATCAACTTTAGGATATCCTGCAGAAATTTTTATCTATGGGGTTTTTTATTAGGCAGTTAGAGGATCAAAAAAACAAGAGGCTGCTCTTTCATCACTGTCTTTCATAGTGTGTTTCATAACTTGCTGCCACTCAAATCAACAGCTCATAATGCAACGGGTTCCTTACATGAGGGCACCTTACATAGTAGTGCAATATCCCACAGAAGCAAGGCAAGAAGAAGCTGCAAGAAAAACTCCAAAAAAACGCTTCGACTCACCCAAATTCGGTTTCAGTTTATCAGTCTTACAGAATGGCTTAAATCCTGAAGTGTGGTATTACAAGCATTCCAGAATTCTGGTTGGAGAAAGACCAGGACAATACTAAGTAGATTGAAGACTGATGTTCCTGGCATGTTACACTAATTGATTAGAAAAATATCTGGGTTTGATGTGTAAATGTTTTAAATTTAGCTAATTTATTCCTGTAATCTGAAAAGGAAGAAATAAGAAGTACCATTGTTTCACTCAAAACGTGGATGGGAGTTGATCACTCTGATGTTAAAATATCTCATTTTAGTTAATTTTTAATTTCATGACAACAGTAACAACAGTTAAAATATTATATTAATGTAAGTTTGGAAAATTAAGAGATTTTTTATATTAATATTTTTTATCTGCTCAAATTATTATTACATTTTAACTGTGGACACAATTAAGGAATTTCCATTTTTTGACAATTTTAATTTGCTATAGGAGCAAACTCGCCCTTTATTAACATATATTTCTGCATTCAAGTCCTTATAGTATACTGAAGAAAGCTGCAGTATAACCTTTTACTATAGAGGCTTTTAGGCTTGATCCATCAACCTAATCTTCACTAATAAGTTATTCTACTGCAAAGTCAATTAAATTTACACCGAACATTATGCCCTGAATTACAACTAAAAGTCACAATCCGTCTATGAGTGTTGGGATAACACACACACATACACTATTATATTTGTAAATGTATCCATATATATATATTTATACATGTATATACATATATATACATAAAAGCACACAAAGAAGGAATATACAGGTATTACCTGGCTTTAAATTCCTGTGTGCTGCTGCTGCTTGCTCTGACACCATATGTTTATGCATCCTACCCCAGAACATGGATGTTTTCTTGGTAGATAACGGTGCCAATGACTATGTTTGCTCACAGGTATGACACTGCAGCGGAGTTTATTTGAATTATTTCTGTGCTTAACATTTAATATGTCTACATATAAAAGGATAAAATCTGAACTTCATCTGAGTGCCTTTCTGCCTCTAGCAAGACCTCAAAACATTTACTCTGGTGGCAGTGATGTAACGAGCAAAATTGTAACACGCTTCACCACATGGGCGGTCACGAGTCCTCTCCTTGCCTGACTCTTACGACATAAACGAGAAATTGGTGTGTTCAACTTCAATGACGAAGCAGAGAAAGCCCATCAAGATGATTACACAACAGGCTAGATGAAATACATTGTTCTCCCAGAAATAAAGAATAAATAAAATATGCTTTTCGTCTGCATTTTGCCTAGAAATGCATTTTTCCAGGCTTTAATTCAAGATTTCCATTAATTACATTGACACCTGTGCTCCTCCAATGTAGTTAAATAACAGCAAAGCCCAAGCTAAGGAAACATGGAGCTAACAGCAGCTATTTGTATCTTAGAACACCACTTATTAAATCAGTAATCACTCACATTAGTCAATAAATTCCTGAGTAAGCTCATGTTATCCTTGACAAAGTATGGTTTATTCAGTCTATTGACAGTGCCTTCCATTAGTTCTTTGACATTATTAATTTGATGTTATTTGCAGCACAACTAGAGACTATGGAGAAGATCCACCAGAACACTGGATTATCAGTTCCAAACACCAAAGAAATCAAACACAGAAAATATTACTTATTTCTATTTTCCACACTAAAAGTTGAAAAAAAGGGAGGGGAAAAAAAAAGTCAAAAGACTTGCCAACAGCTTCCCATAGAGTCAGTGGCAGAGACTCAGATCTGTCATGCCCTCCTGCACATTTATCAGACTTTCTTTTTTGGTTTTCATTTGCCGCGTCCCAGAAATCATAACCACCTCCTCACTCTCCTCCAGCTGATGAGAAATTTCAGGCAAGCAATTGTTGCTTCTGATTTAAAGTGAGCAGGACTGGCAAAGCTTAAAGCTTGTGTGCTGTGAGCCTCTGAGCTCGGCGCAGCCTTTCGGATCGTCTCCTTCGTGCCAAATTTGTGCTGGCTGCTTTCAGTGTCAGCTGGCACGGCAACTGCTTTATCTCCCATAGATTTGTTTATCTGAGCACAACTTGCATTTAACCCTCTTGTTCCAGCATTTGTCTCTTATTAGTGGCTGGGGCGAGGCAAAGGGGAATGAAAGGTTTCCAAAACTATTCTGTCCTGAAATGGCTTAATTTTTTTTTATTCCTGTTGCTCCTATCTCAGTGTTATGGGTACGCAGGTAATCCTCTGAAAGGATGGATTTTGACAGCACAGAGATCAATATGCAGAGCTTATACTGGTTTTACTGCACGTTAATTCTGTCCCTTCAGAAAGCACAGACTAAGGCAGAAAGATGTTATGGAGAAGATTTCCTACAATCATTCGTTATCACGCTGTCCAGCTATGTGGATAATGAACATGAATTGAATATTTTCCTGTTTTATACAGCACTGATTAGGAGCTTAACATTGCGTGTATAAATGTGAAATAATTCGTCGAACCCTCATGCCCGACTCCACAGCATCCCCCACGCTGTGCCGCTCCCATCTCTATCATTCCATGCTGCTCTCACGTGTCAGCAATCTGTTCAGCCGGCTGGCAGAGCCGTGGTTGGGAGCGGTGATCCTACCCCGTGGCTTTTCTGGGGCTCTGTGATCTCCCCACACTAATACCGCTTGCATACTCCACCCGCTGCTTCTAAACCCCTTCTCCCCTCTCCCGTATCTGGGCACTCTCAATCCCACTATCCAACCATTCCTGTTACTTCACTGCTACTCTTTTTTTCCCACATGGAAAGTGATTCAGAATCAGCTGTTAGTTCTTTAAAATCTCATTTACAGGATCTGTAGAAAGTGGCAGCTAGGCAAGGTCAGAGAGTACATGGCCTCACAGGTTCCCACACCTTTCCCTCTGTTCAGTTCTTCACCATTTCCAGGGATTTTGGTCTCTCCAGCCTCACGCCCCATAGACAATACTTTAAATTACAGATTGAAAGTCACTTGGCATTTACTGCACGTTGCTGTTTATCTTGTCATATAGGTTTGTGAACATAGTGCTTGCACAGAGACAGT